TCTGACTGTGGTATTACTTTTACAATGTATATGTATATCAAATCTTCATGTTGTATACTTTAAATATGTTACACTTCTATTTGTCAGTTATACCTCAATAAAACTGAAAAAAATAGCTTAACAGTAATATAAAATATAAGCCATTATGGCAGCAGTTTGAAGGAGAAGGGAAAAAATGTAAACAAACAAAAAGACAAGTGTATTTGGTGGGAAGAAATTCTGAACGAGAAATATCAAAGACATAAAAGGTGAAAAAATCAAAAGGAATAGTGATACAAAGACTGAGTATACAAAAGGGTAGCATTATGTGTCTTATGATGGTAACAACTGCTTGGACAAATAAGATACAAAATAAAAATTTCACATATATAGAGTAGGCCAAAGAAGTCAGAAAAACACAGAGTCCTAAGAAGGGGCTTGCAGGGAAAATGCTAACCATGTAAAGGTAGAAAATAGGGTGCTGAGAAAGTCAACAAGGTCAGTAGGGTGTGGACATACACTGGAAGGGAAGAAGACACAGCAAAAGTCGGGGCTGGGGGACAAAAAAATGCTGGGAACATTAAAGTTATTATTTAAAAATAGAATAAAAAATGGTCAAACAGGTTTTTGGGGGTATTTTTGTACATTATATATGCCTCCAAAGAACAGCGCATGCAGTTAGTTCACTGGTAAGAACTTTTTCACGCCCTATAGTAGATAACCTAGACATTTCCAGGAAGCAACTCACACCTCATCTGCATGAACAAGGAAAGTTGTTTCACAGGTTGAGGTGTCTGGCTTTCAATTTTAAGAAAATGACAGAAAATGCACTTCAAATTTGACCTACTTGGTTAAAAACCTAGTGGGAAAAAGGGAAGTAGTACTTCCCTCTGAGTACAAAATAAAACAAAAGAAAAACTCAAATTGAAAAGGGACAACCTACAAAACAAAACAGTGAAGAGAGGAAAAGCAGGCAATCACAGTCAAAACTATCAATGAGGAAAAAAAGCATTCTTTCGGAAGACTGGTCTGGCATCAGTATTCTAAACTTTCACTAATCACCTCAAAACATCTACCTCCACCTCAATCTCTCTCCCTGTTGCCTCTTTCATTTCCTGTTATAACCTGAAAATGCATGATTCCTTTAATTATCTTTGTGTCCCTAAGAATTTTCCAGATCCTTAGTTATTCCTTATTCCTGCCTTCTAGTGTCCAAAGATAAAATACTCCCTTAATACCTAAGAAACTTTTCACCTGTTCCATCACCAATCCTGTCTCTTGGTTGTATTATCAACCTCTCTGTTTACTGACTTCCTTCTTCAACATATAAATATGCTCAAAGTCCTTCCATCATAAAAATACAAAAGCTCTGCCTCCACCCTGCCACCTCTTTAAATACATTAGCCCGAATGAGCTTTCCAAAACACAAACCAAATCAATTTGATATTATTGCTGAAAATCCCTAGAGTTTCCCATTACCTTCAGGAAATCTTTCAAAATATTAGTATTTTATTTCTGACCAACAAATGTTCCCTCACTGAGCCATAGTCTGTCATGCAATTACCAAGCTGCCTATAATGTCACTTTCCCATTTATTCCCCAGGTAACTGTGACTCATTCTCTGGTATTCAGTATAAACAACACCGCCTTGTATTTCCTGATTATACTCAGGCTGAGACACCATTCTTTTGCCAGTGTTCTCTTTTCATCCTCCCATGACCTCTCATGCATAATATGGTGTGATCCTTGCTTTCTCTTGTCTGTAGCCCTCTCTAGACTACGAGTAAACTAAACGTGAAGAGAGACTTGTTCAGCTCTGCCTCAGCACCTTTCACAGTATTCAATGTCTGTTAAATTAATGATAGATCAGTAGCAGAGATTCCAAGAAATTGATGCAGTAAATTAAGTTTGAAGCAACAGGCTTGAAGTAAAATTTATTTGAGCGTGTGTAAAACGGACTATCATTCTACAATATCTACAGCAATTGTTTTATGGGGCTTAAAATGGGGGCCAACAGAAAAGACAGGCTGTCTCCTGCTGGGCCATGATATGTGTAGACATGGATCATTTCACTATCAGTCTAAGGATGAAGCAGAGACAAAAAAAAGAGGCAGTACTAAGGATGCTGCAGTCAGAGTCTTGATTTAACACATCTGATCACTGCTGTATCTCTGAACTTCTCCTGTTAGATAAGTCAGCTTCTCTCTACTGTTTAAGCCCTAATCTTTTACATTCAAGATTTAATTTAGGGTACAGACGTACACTGAAAGGGAAGCCCATTTGCATGGATCCCCCATTGCCATGTAACTTAATCCCTCTTTCCTAGAAGAGGTGTAGTCTATTTTTCCAATCCCTGAATCTGGGCATGGCTATATGACTTGTTTTGGCTAATGGGATTCATTAGCAAATATGACACAGAAAAGATTTTCGAAGTGCTTGTGCATTGGGCTTTCCCTTTCTTGTTACCAGGAACCTTGACTGTGAGGCAAAGAAGCCTGGGCTAGCCTCCTGGAGGATGAACTACCACATGGAGAGAGGCTCCAGTTCTCCCAGGCAAGCCTCCAGACACGTGAGAGGTCCTCATAGAACACACTGCTACCACAAAGCCAGCCCCAAACCACAAGAAATGCCTGACCAATACACAAATCTTGAGAAATAAATATTTGTGGCTTTTAGCCACTAAATTTTGGATGATTTACTACACATCGGTATTGATTAGATGTTTGTTTTCCCCCAAATTCTTATGTTGAAGCCTCTGTGGCTGTATTTAGAAATGGGACTCTGAGGAAGTAAATAATGTTAAATGAGGTCATAAGAGTGTGGCTCTGATACAATAGGATTAATATCTTAATATGAAGAGAAACCAGAGATCTCTCTCTGCCATCAGCCATCTGCAAACCAGGAATAGACTCCTCATCAGAAACCAACCTTGCTGGACCTTGATCTGTGACTCTCTTCCCTCTAGAACTGTGAGATGCCTTGCTTAGGGTCACCCAGACTGTGGTGTTTTGTTATGGTGGCCCAAACAGACTCATACGCACAGCATAGCAAACTGACATACAGCCTAGCAGGAGCCTTGCTAATTATCTGTAAAAGGTTACTACAAAAACATTTTTTTGATAGATGTAATTCAAGTTTATGCTCATTTACTGCTTAAGCTTGGTGTTGTCACATCTCTTTATCTGCTCTTACTGGACCATCAAAGTTCTTGTCTGAATTGCATGTAAGATTGAACAGAGTAAAAATATCTTCATCTATCTATCAAAATAGAACTTTGCTATGGTTACAAGGTACTGAAGCAATGTATTCACATTAACTCATTCCAATATTTGAGTACCTACTGTTTACTTGGCAATGGTTATAAGGATGAAAGAAAAGATAGTCCCAACTCTCAGTACTCCTGAGGGAGACCAAAAAAATGGATAATTTATAGGGTAGGCTACAGACTTCCGTAAGTTCTATCCACTTTAATACAATCTACAGTTTCATATTTTGTATGTTAATACTCCTAACCACCTTTCCAAACACCAAAGCAGGCTTTCATATATCAGTAGATTAGTATACCATGGTGGTACTGTCTCTTATCAAGTGTTCAGTTTTGTTTTTACCAATAAAACAGTATATGTGCCATTATTTAACTATTTTATGAGTTCAGTAAATATTTGTTGCCACAACTTGGTATTATTCTGCTTTTATTTTCTTAAATTCAGGAAAATGATAAAAATCAAAAGGCTGATAGCAGTGATAATGCAATCAATAAAAGATGGAACTTACCAAGTATACTGAAAGCAGGAATCTTTAATCAGCTGACCACATGGTGAATTAAGTAAAGGACAAAGTATATAACCAAAGCATACACTTAAACATCAAGTAGAAGTGATAAAAACAGCAGGGGAGAAATCTTTGGAATTATGAGCTATTGATTATAAAAACAATACTAGTGATCCTAATGCAAAAGAATAGTCATGGGTTGACAGAATTCTTGATGAGCTAGCTAATGCTTGTTTTGATTTCTTAACCATTTCAAGATGCCAGAATGACAATTTTAGAAAAGAAATTACTTGTAAAAATTAGTCAGGACAGTAAATCTATAGAGACAGAAAACAGATTAGTAGATTAGGCCCCTAGGGCTAGGGGTGGGAGGAATAGGGAGTGACTGCTAATGAGTAAGGCGTTTCTTTTGGTGTGATGAAAATATTCCAAAATTGATTGTGGTGATGGTTGCACAACTCCAAATATACTAAAAGCCACTAGAAATGAAAGCTTTAAATATGTGTATGGTATGTGAATTATCTCAAAAAATATATTGCTAATTAAAACTTTAACTTGAAAGCCTCAACAGTTAAAAAGGTATTGTCAATATTTAGTGTTTAATCTGTTTTTCTTGTTTTAAATAATCATGTTCATTATTCCAACATTAAAATAGAAGTAACACACCTACACCATAGAACCTTATAAATTCTTTATTCCCTTGGAAATAGAACACTTTCCCTGAAACAAGTAAGTCTATTTTTCAAATACCCTTTACACTCTTGACTTTCATACAGATACTCAGGAACACATGTTAAGTAGTAGACAGCCTACACAACATAGTAAGTCCTATAACCAAAGTATGAACAAAAAGTAAGGAAGTACATCAGCCATAAAAAGAAAGGAAATACTGCCATTTGCAACAACATGGATGGATCTAGAGAGTATTATGCTCAGTGAAATAAACCAGGCGGGGAAAGACAAATATCATATGATTTCACTTATTTGGAATGTAAAAACAAAACAAAACAGAAGGAACAAAACAGCATTAGACTCATAGACACTGAGAAGTGACTAGTGATTACCAAGGGGGAGGAGAGGGGGGAAGAGGGAAGGGGTAGGAGGACTGTTGAACCACTGTAAGGTACATTTGATAAAATAAAAAATAATAACACTAAAAAAAGTAAGAAAGTACAGTGGTTGGAAACAATTAACCCTACAAAGTTTACTATTATCTCTGTGGAGGAGTTTCCTACCAATCCTCAGCCTACCTTCATCATTACATTTAATGTGTATTTTTGATCTTCCCGCCTTGCTGCAGCTTTTGCTTCCATAGCTTCCTTTGCTCTTTCCTGTGCTTGTAAAATAGACTTCTCTCTTATCCTTTGCATCGTTTCTTTGTCAACTAAAACATAAGGAATATCACTAAATTAGGATTATGATGAATTTGTTTTAGTGAGGAGAACACTGCTTAACATACTGATTCAGGGTGAGAATTTTGGGGGTCCAACTTCACATGGAGAAATGAAAACATTTTTCAATATTAAACTGGCCAAGAAGTTAACATTAAATGATGCCATTTAAATGATTATGGAACATGCATGGGTGCATGAGAGAGAGAGAGAGAGAGAGAGAGAGAGAGAGAGAGAGAGAGAGGAGAAAGGGAGAGAGTGCGGAGGGGAAGTAGAATATGAATGAGAGGAGGAACAACAGGGTGGGAGACTAAAAGGATGGGGAGAGGGAGTGAGTGGGGAGGAAAGAGGGGGACCCAAGAGGGATAGAGAGGATAGTAGAATGAGAGGGAGAGGGTTTTGGGGGAGGGAAGGGACAAGATGGAGGTAAAGAGAACACATTTATTCTCCTCCTGTCTGTTGAGAAACCAGGGCTATTTGCTTATAAACCTGATCACAATAAATCAAGAGGCCGCATGTTGAGACTATCTGATATGATTAATCACCTTCACAAACATAAACGGTAATTTATACATAGGAAGAGTATAGGGCCAGCCCTAGGAAAAATTATTAAGTAACATGACACTATATGTAGAACTTCACCATTCATAATTATTTATATATTCAGTGACTCAATGTTTTAGAACTACAGGCTGGGATCCACTAAATTATCTAAGAGGGAGATGGATCAGGAAGGGATCCTAGACTCTGAGTACAAAAAAATGGGAGGGAGAGAAAACTTGGGGGGAAAGAGTAAAGTGGGGAAGAGAATAGGAGCAGGGGTGGAGGGATGAATCAGGCCCTAGGCAGGGGTTATCCTTTTTGCGCAGCAGACCCCTGGGCAGAATTTAAAAACCTCATAGATTCCTTCATAATGTTTTAAAATGTAGGAAATAAAATATGCAGGATTACAAAGAAAACTAGGTATGTTAAAATATATACACTTAAAAAATATTAAAAAATAAATTTGTGATATACTAATATGTGCTTCTTTATTAATGCATTAAATAACATACAGCAGCAAGTCTAATAAATACTATAATTTCAAAGTAGTAAGTATAATAGAGGCACCTGTGATAGAAACATTTTTGTGATGTTTGTTGATATAACTTTATTGCCTGTATTCATAACTGAAGGTAATGTTAAATTTCAGTTACAGGTTAAGTTAAAAGTATGGGATTTTTACTTACGCAAAATCTTGGCTGGGAATTAACACTGTAATTTGGTCTGAAACCTCTCCCCAACTCTCCCATTTAGTAAGAGAGGGGTAGATGGTTGGAGCAGCTTCAGAAGCAGAAATTATTAAAAGAACATCTACTTTCCAAATGAAATGCTCCACATCCAGAAATGAAAAGTGCATCAGGAAAGAAATTCAAGTAAAAAAGGAACAAATATGTTTTGAATAATAAAATAGGCTTGGAGTATAGACTGGATTTCCACAATACTTCATATGAAAAAAGGTTGTTAAGAAATAATTGTATTGAATTGGATGTGAAACTTCCAATTTTAGAGTTTAATTTCTAAAGGAATCTCACACCTGGTTTCTGAAGTAAAACCAGTGTTCATTATTTGTTATATAAGTCAGCTTTAAGACTGTTTTGACTAGTCTGAATCAAAAGTTGGCAAACTAGGGCCAAATCCAACCTGTGGCCTTTTTTCCTCCAGCACGTGAGCTAAGAATAATTTTTATACTTTAAATAGTTGAAAAACTCAAAAGAATATTTGTGACATAAAAATTAGAGTAAACTCAAATTTCAGTGTCAATAAATACATACTGTTTATAGCTGTTCTTGTGCTACAATGGCAGAGCTGAGTAATTATGACAGACAATATGCGGCCCATAAAATCCAAAATATTATCTGGTCCTTTACAAAAGTTTATGAAACTTTGGCTTAAATGGTCAAAATTTGGAATAGGTGACCATATAACCATGGAAGAAAAGAATAAAGTAGCTGAGCTATGAAAGCCTATGTGCAAAACAGAGAGCAAGATCATGATTAGGATAGAAAATTCTCTTCCCACTCCTGGATAAGGTGACATAAAAGGGAATGTGACATAGAAGAGTGTTTCATGTTGGAAATAGGGGAAAGTAACAGATTTCCAGATATGATCCTTCTTTATACACTATAAAGTTGATAGACAAAAACGTTTTCTGGAGAAATCTGTTGGCCACCAGGAGACACAGTCACACACACACAAACATGTTAAGTCAGTGGTTCTCACACCTGGCCAGTCATCGGAATCACCTCGGAAGTCTCTCTCCACACCCCCAATCTGTTTATTTTTAAATGAGCCATTATAATACATGATGGTTCTGGTCCCACCTTACTTCTAAATTAAGATTATAACAAATGTTGAACTAAATGAAAGCATTTATATTTAATCTTAGGTAAGAAGTCAGAACACTCTGGGTGTATTTCATGACATACTCCCAGGCCCAATTTCACATGTACTGAATCACAAAAGAAGACAGGGGTAGGAGAGCAGAATCTGGTTTTTTAAAAACTCCTCAGTTAGTCTGGGACTCACTGAGAACTAAAGTAACCTAGCTATGTTACCTACCTTAACTATATTTTCTGAGCTGAATACTGTATCTTAGGGAAAAATTCCACCTGATCCTGATGATTGCAAAATTAAATATACCACTATGAGATAACAAGAAAGCAGAATATAAAGAATGGCTGCAACCTCTCCATTTTCAATAGTCCCTACTCAACGCTTAACGCCAGAGGCATAGGAGAAATTTCATGCAGTAGATATAAAGACCTATAATGACAAACTAGAACAAGAAAATAGAACTTAAAGCAGTAGAGGGCAATGACTGATCAACAAAGCTGATCTTGGCAGAAGAAAAGAGTACTGATTAAGAATACAGAGAATAAAGGATCTCAGCTTTGCACACTATAATCCCTGCAAAGCTTTTTAAAAACTACCCCACTCCTAGAAACTGATTTGATTGGTCTAGGTTCAGTTTCAGACATCTGTATTATTTAAAAGTGATGTAGATGATTCAAATATACAGTCAGGGTTGAAAACTGCTGCTCTAGAGTCAAACTGCTAAGGCTCCTGTGCCAGTCTGCCATTTATCAGTTGTGTGACCTTTGACAATTACTTAACCCTTCTGTGCTCAGTAGCCTCATCTTCAAAAAAAGGGGTGGGGTACCTAAATCATAGGCTGCTGTGAAGTTAACAGGTGTGTTAATAACTAATACAAAATAAGTGCTCAATAAAGACTGTATCAGGAGGCCTTAACCCCTGAAGATACAAGCCCACATTTGTTTAAAAGCTTCTCTCAGTGTTCTCTAACTTTTGAGTAAGTCAGTCTGGGTTATCTATTTTATGTGGCACCTGAAGTGCTCTCATTTAAATCATTTTCATGTTCCTATTTTTTTCTAGAAGAGAAACATAATTGTTTCAAAAACAACTTCTTAAAAGGTATAAAGTATAAAAAGCACAACGAAATGAACATCTTTTAATAAAGAACTTACCACCTGACACCGAAAGGGTCTCCCACATAGCCGCTTCTTTTTTATATAAGGTGAAAACAATAGTGTCATTCCCAATCTTGGCTTTGCTGTTCTCATCGTCTATAGGAGCATAGAGAAACACTTCAAATAGAAATGGAGGACAGTTGACCTAATCAGAAGTGGGGAGGGGGGATTGAAGTTATTTAATTACTAATTAAATTTAGCGGATTTTATTACAAATTAAAGATAGCCTTTAAGAAATAAGCGCTAGAAACCGAAATAATTTTCTTAAATGCCTAAATTTATTGAAGGTTGCAAAAGATTAGCAGTCCTAGATAAAAATTATCTCTGATCTGTCTACAGATGAGGTGCCACCCATAGGATTTCGGTTTTTTTTTTTTTTTTTTT